GTCAGTATGAAAAATGATCTGGGTGATTAAACATGTGGCCAAAGCCGTAATTGGGGGTACATTGGTCAGTATTATAAAGAGGGGTCTAGAAGCTTGGGAATCACGTACTTTTCTGACAATGACCGATCTCTTATGGCGGCATCGGACCTTCTTTGACGTGTCACGGTAGGTACAAAATTTATAAAATCCTTAATCGACGTAAAGTTCACGAAAAATGATATTGGTTAGACACAATAATTTTTCAACATGTTTCTTATGATTCCGTAACAAAATAAGCCGATAGACACAAATACTGAAATAAAACCAACAACAAAAAACAAGCTTTCAATCAGGAAAACCATTATTCGTTGGCCACGATAAAACTTCATGAATCATCTATATAGCCGATACGGCCTAATGTAATTAGTGTTATTATGTAAATTTGAATAGCAGCACGTAATTAAATATGCAAATAGATATTATTGTGAACATAATTACAGTTCGGCTAGGAAATCGAATCCTAAAAATAAAATCAAAACCACTTCATAAATGGCACATCAAAAATTAAATGAAAATCAAAATCGTGAAATTAATTGCCGGATAGATATGCTAAATTAATTTTCATTTGGATTTGGTGGAGGCAATGGATTTTCTCTTTAAATACTTTGTACCTACTTATTAAAGCTTTATAAAATTGTGATAAATCGACATAATAAATATATTTTATTTTATACATCTTTCTATTCTCTTTTACTCATTTTCTCCATCTTTCTAATTGTATCAAACCTTTAATTTAGTTTGTGTTAGCGAAAGAGTATTGTTTTTTTCCTGGAAGAAACTACTTTTTGTCGCCTTTTTATTGCGGTTTTGTTTGGGCATTTTTACGAGTAGAAGAATAAAGCAGTTCAGTTTAGACCTTGTTTCATTCCACATTAAATATTTATTTAGTAAATTTATTTCAAACAAAACTTTTTTTATACTATTTTTTAAAGCTTTAAATCATGAGCGAGAAATTAGAGAAATACCATTTCTTTAGACAATAGTAAGAAAATTGTGGGTATTTTTCTTAAGAATACAAGACTTTAGACTTTTAAATTGAAATATTCAAAGAATACTGGACTCGTTTTCATTCATTTTAATGCGTATATGTTTGAATTTTTAGGCAGCTTCTTTGTGGTATTTTCCTGTAGCTAGTATTACAGTATAGTCTGCAAATTCAAATTAAATCAGAATGCGTCTTCCTGTTTAATTCTGAAATACCTTTCTGTTAAATATGATTTGAATAGATCTGAATATTGTCTGGGCAAAAGTATTTTCAGCTATGCCATACTTTATCAAAAGCTTGCACTACGTCCAGGAAGATTGCAGAACAAACTGTGTTTTCTTCTAACGATGTTTCAATAGTGTTTTTGATTATGTGCACTTGGCTTGATCTATGGTACAATGATTTTCTCAGAAGCTAAATTGATGAGAAAATTTGTTTCTTCTCCTCTATCATTTCAATCTTTTAAGAGCAAACCGAACACCTTGAACATTTATAATTCCTTCGGAGTCTTTATTTTTAGACCGTTTTTTGTAAATTTTTCAGGAAATACCAATAATAATAAAATTTAGGGTAGAGAAACCTTAATTTTTTTGTAAATCTTTAAAATCCCGTCCCTTAAAAGGAATTTAAAAAAAAACATTTACGCGCCATTCTGTATTTAATTCATAAAAATTTGCTTCTTTTTGTTTTAATAAGTATCTAGTAGTTTTAAAATGGGAAGATTTCTCACCTTTTTTTCTGAAACGCCCCTGTAGAGTGCAGCCTTATCGTTGCATAAATTTTAAGCTCTCTATATTCTCGAGAAACGTAATATCGTGAAATATTCCCAGTGGCTCGCTTATAAATACAATTTTATATTAGAAAACACTTAAAACATTTTTGCTTTTGCGAGAGGTCTGATTTGCTCTCAAGAAGTAATTTTTTTATATCGTTTCCAAGTTACCTAGACGCAGTAAATAATTAGCTTGTAAGCATAGGCGCCGTCAGACGAGGAAAAGGGGTACAAAGTGGTCAAAGAGGCAGTGGCGGCTTGTCTGTAAGGGCTACAGTACAAGGGGAAACCAATTTAAATAAATATAAAATGAAAATATATTTTTAATAAAAAAAAATTATATTCAACGTCTATTTATAACTTTTATACGACTCCTTTGTTTTACTTGTTCCAATCATAATCCGACAGTTCGTCCCTGGCCTTTAAATTATTTTAAATTAGCTTATGTTGCTAACTGGAAGGGCTTTCAAATAATGTATTCGGGCTGTCAGATCGGACGAAGTCGCTCGCACTTATAGGTCTTAGATACGGAATTTTACATGTAAGAGGTCTACGAAAATTTCGCCTTGTTTCCTATGTAGACAGTGAATCTATTTATTGTCAGATAGAAACCAAGATGGTTGCTTGTATATACACAAACTTGTTTTTCATCATTGTTTTTTACGTGAGAGTCGTGATTTGGTGTGTATTTTTGAACAATACAAAGTTATTTGAAAAACCAGTTTTGTGTTACTTTTATTGAATCATATACAAGGTCTCTAGGTAAGTTGGCGACATATGGAAAACTTTTTTGCTATAAATTTTAGGAAAAAAGTTATTTTTCACAAAAAGTTGTGCATGTCCTAAAACCTATAATACATTTATCTGTTATCAACTTTTATCAATTGTCAAAAATAAAGGTATTTTTTATTCTTTAGCAAAATCATATTTTTTGATAAACCTTGTATAAGACTGATACAATTTGATCAGATGATTGAATCTAAGATTTTAGAGCATGCTCGCAATTTTTATGCAGAATAATTAGTTTTCCTAAAATTAATATTAAAAAAGTTTTCCATATGCCACCAACTTACGTAGACAATTTTGACGAAGTGGTGGAAGATAATAAGTAGATACTTTTATGTTAGGATAAATAAAGTGGGCTAAATTAGAAGAATTTATTGAACGCCAGGGACGGCTTGCCAGATTATGATTGGATCACCCAAATAAGTGCTTTGGTAAGTTTTGATAAATTTTATACAGTGTGTTCCATAAAGTTGGATCCATATGGGATTTTTTTTCATATTATGATTGGAAAATACGTCATAGGGCACTTACCCCTACTTTTTTAAACATAAAATAGCCCGAATTAAAGTTGGCTAGGTGCTGCATTAATTATCTGTCAAATTCGATATTTTTTTGAAAAATCGTTAAGAAAACATTTTTTTTAAATGCGATTTTGACAGAAAACTATTGTCAGTAGCCAACATTGATATGGAATATTTTAAATTTTTAAATAACCAGAGATGATTGACCTACGACTTTTTTCCAATCGTAATATTAAAAAAATGCCCATATGGATCCAACTTTATGGCATACACTGTATATCTTAAGTGCCTTTTAAAAATTGCTCCCGCAGTAGACTAGGCCACGAGCAACCACTGCAAAGGGTACAAGGCGGGAACGGAAAAGGAACAGATGAACGAGTTTATTTAATTATTCACATCTATCATTATTAAGTTAAATTTCAATGAAAGTCAGCGTACGTCTGAACAAACTGCTCGCTTAGTTGAATACCACAACGGGAAGCGTTATATATCAATAAATACGATGAGGTCGTGGGCTGTGCCATCTTTTCGGAGGAGATGTAAAACCGTCGGTCCCGAGTCCATGGATGCTGGACTCGTTAAAGTTCCCTACTTCTGGTTAGAACACCAGAGGATTCGGCTAAATTTCTGGTAATTGGTTGTAGTGTGCTCACCAGCATCGGTCTTTAAAAAACTCCGTACATAGAAATACATCGACGTTAAATAAATTAATACCTCAGTCTAATGCATTAATTGTGAAGAGTGAAATTAAAAATAACCACATTCTCGGAATGGTCTCAGATGCTCTAGTTCCCCGACTTATAGGTAAGAAAATCCTTCACTGACCTTATTTCTGATAGAAAAGAATGGAGCAAGATATACGCCCATGCATGTGGCTTTTCAGTGTCTTTTAAAAATTTTCCTTTATGCAATAAATTAATTAAAGTTAGCTATAAATGATAAATGTATCGTCTTGGATATGTTTGGTATTGATGTAATCGTTTTGATTGTGAGATACCTACTAAATTCTATAGTGAGATTTATGACAAGTCTGATAAATCTAGGTTTGCGATTTATGAAATACACGGAGACGTAAAAATGTATAAAAATGTTCAAATGGTTATATTTTCTATAAGGCTATACAGTCTTTGATTTTTCTGTTTTTCCATCGTTAAGAAATCGTTTATCATGTTTGAAACAAAATTGGTTGTTATTTATTTCAACAATATTTGTTATGAAAATTTAATTATCTACGAGAGAATATTTTCGCTTGCTAAACACTTCATTGCATCTGTTCTAGCCCCATTTATAAACCAGGCGAGCCCTTCTGTATCTGTACAGTTTCTAATAATTGGAGGTGCAACATTAAATAGAGCTTAGGCCGCTGTGAGAGCCGTGCGGGTTGCACCAAAAGTACTAATACATTATGCTTTTTCGTTCGCTGTTAGTGCAGTGTCCACCAGTGTAAATTACACCAGTTACCTACACCACCTTATTTGCCTAGTTTACTTCCCTCCTTATTACCTACTTATACACATGTCCTACTAAATAGCTGGTGAAGGAAGTATCCACCAGTGGACACCACAACGCCGATCGAAAGGTTAGTGGATTTTACACCGGGCCAAACGAAAGGTATGGTGTCTGTTGGTGTAGTTCATTCCTAAACCAGTGAAACGAACGAAAGAACCTAGTAAGAGTTGTTTTGAGGCCGTGCTGGATTGCAGGCTACCACACCACAAATTTGTAAAAAAAATATGTTCTCATTGCTAGGTGTCAATACAAAGAATCTCATCTTGGCAATGAGCCACCTGCACATCCAACATGAGGCAGTGGATGTTTGGCCCAGATAAACCATGCATTTGATGCCTATTAAAGCAGGTGATTAGTATGCAGTTCTTAATTAAAAAAACAAATTTTATTTTTATTATGTATTAAACTTTCAAAAGTTTCTTGCCATTCAATAAATATCTATACAGAAATTGCAAAACAGAAAAGGCAATGCCACCTTTCAAATTCTGATTTAAATAATTTACACTTCCACTTTTATAATTCAGAAATTTTAATTTTTATCTCCAATTTTTCATTTGCATCTGTAAATTTATTGATTCAGAATTTTAAGATGGTGACTAACACACTCTTTTCAACAATTATGACAAATTATTAATGATATAAAACAATTATAAAACAAATATTTATTGTTGGTTCAATGGATTTTCTGGTGATTTTTGCCATTCCTTGAAAATCATTTGTTTGAGCTGGGATAACCGTAGAGAGGGGTTTTCTTCTTTGAGTTCTTTAAGCCTTCTTTCTTCATAGGCAGTGTATGCAGCTTTCATCCTCTTCTCAGGATGTTTATCAATGTCATCTTTATTGCTGCTTAAAATAAAAAAAATGTTTTAAATCAATATTGGATTAATTTTTCTTAAAAATTTGAGTTTTCTGATAATAAAAAATTAATACTATTACACTAACCCTAAAATTGAAATAGCTTCATCCACAGTCCTAGCTTCCTCACCATCAACTTGTAGTCTGTTGATATTTTCAATTAATGGAGCTTCCAAGTGAGTTTCAATCTTTGTTTCTTCCTTTTCAGGCTTTGTAGATGCAGCTGCTTTAGCACTAATTTGGGCTCTTGTCACTTTTACAGGTGGAGGAGGCTTTGAAACTTTCTTAGGCGTTTCTGTTAGTTCTTTTTCTAGAAGTGCTTTTGCTTCTGCTTTACGTTGAAGAGCTTCTTGTTTTTTCTTCTCTTCAGCTTCCTAAGGAAAAATTTAGTAGTATAGTTCAATAAACTCTTTATTTTTATGCAGTGGCCTCATATTGATTTGTACTTTTAGAACAGATAAATTTGCCCGTTTTTTTTTCTCAACTTTGGTATTTAATATTGAACTACATAAACATTTATTTACCTTCTTTTGTTGCTTCTTCTGTGCCTGTTTATCATCATCTTTCCAGTATGCATCTTCTAGATCTTTTTGCTTTTTCGAAGTTTGTTCATCTTTGGCTTGCTTCTTTCGTTCCCTTGCTGCAACTGATTTGGTGTTTTCTGTCGCAAACTTTTTCGGCATTTTAAATTTTATTACTGATTATTTATTCTATCATCGAATTCTTAATTTATAATTTTTGTTATGAAAAATGATACTGTAACTCTGTGACACTGACAGCAGTAACAGTCATTGCGTTCGGTTTGCCACGTTCCTTTAACTCCTTTAACACTTTTAACTCCAAACGACTCTTTTAGCGTTCGGTTTAGTCCGATTAGTGACAGTTTAACACGCTTAAATGTCATTTAAAAGCACCCTAAAATTTGTCCCGCTCCAGCCCCTGACTGACCGAACTCGCCTACAAACAGCTGACAGTTTTTGGGGTTATATTTTCTTCTTTTTAACTTTTTAAGTGGTCTACACTGGTAGGATAAAACATTTACTAGTGGTGTATACACAACCAAAGTAACGTTGTTCTATTACAGTTATTTTGTAACTGTTGTTGCTATTGTAAAGGATAATTTGATCTGTTCATATCATTTATTTTTTAGTTGATTACCATCTAAAAACGCGATTATCTTAACAAAGATAATTATTAATCAATTTTCTCATAATTTTACAAAAAAAAATTCAATTCTATTATACAAAAAAAATAAATCCGTATCTGTCCGTATAGTGTAACACAACGAACACACCTGAGTGAAATGTGAATTTCAAGGAAATGTCATCGCCTTTCAGAATAATCACAATCACAGTTATTTGAAAACAGAAATGTGTCACAGAAAATATGCAAACAGATTACAAAGTTTTGTTTTATTATTTTCTTTGTAAATAGTAAAAATTCTATTTTATTGATTGAAACGAACCGTTCGTGGCTGTTACATATTATTTATTCATTCGACGGTGCTTAACAATTTCTATGACATTCCTTCGCCATTAAGCAGTGCTAAATAATTTTTCTAGCAATTTTATTTAGATCCTAAGTTACTTTATTACAATGTGGATGCCTACTCATGTACAAGTCACTGGTAAGTTTTTAAAATAATATAAAACTCAATATGTAAGTTAAAAACAAATGTCATTGTTTCTAGTTCAAAGAGCAGAAAAACTACTCTTGAAAGGAAAAAATCATACAAATGACTGCTTCGTTACTATTGAACTAGGAAAAACCAAATATCAAACATCAGTTAAAGAAAAATCTGGACCTCAAGTTGAATGGCATGAAGAATGTGAACTGTAAGAAACAAATTGACCTATTTTCTCAATACACTGCACCTTTCATTATAATTAATCATTATTAAATGTATGATGTATGAGAAAACCATTTACGCATACATAGCTGTATTGATGTGTTTTAAAGATCGAGTTGACAGATATATTTATGAAATTACATTATAAATTTGCATTAAACGGGATTTTCTTGAAATATTAAGCTTTAGATCAAAATATCAGTATTATGAGTAATTTACAAATAGAAAAAACTGTATAAACATATTTTTCTAAATTTTGTTGGAATTACACGCAAGGTTAGCTCCATTTGTTTGTATACAATAGATTATAGTGACCATACAGCATTGTGCTGTAATGTATGTCATTTTCAAAGTATGTCCAACATTTTATTTTGTACAGCAAAACGCTGTTATTGTCCAGCAATGTAATACATAATTTACTGAAACTTAACAAATAAGATAAAAATGTAAGACATTACTGTTTTTGTAATTATCTTTCCAAAGTTCATGTTCAGCATTGGATCAAAAGAAATATCACCCTACAATAGATAGATATACAGGTTGTTAGTTTATTTGACTGACACTGTTCTACCCCAGAGAGCTCTTGTCAATTGATGAATTTTCATATAGAAACCTGGACCTTTAAAGGGCTTCATTACCGAGATAGAAGGTGTTAAAAGCTTGGAGTCAAAATCGAAAATTTTCCATAAAACAAAAATGCCTTTAAATAGGTACTTGTTTTCAAATTTGGTGACCAATATGTGCTCTTTAAGAAAGTAATATTTTGAACTTTCGAAAAATTTAACCAGTGGTGTGTTAATAAGGTTAGTGGCAATTTTCCCCCTATTTTTTATGCTATTGGAACAAACTTTATCATTTTTTCCTCAGTTTATTTTTAGTTAAAAAATTAAGAACCTTTTATAGAGCTAAAATGAACGGTGTTGCAGAAAATTGCATCTATACAATATTTCTAAATTATAATATAGTAAGCTCATGTCAAATTTTTAATAGTTCATGTATTTGACAAGTGCTTGGTAGAGCAAAGTTGAAAAGATGTTTTTGATTTGAAGCAAATTTTGAATGTTGATTTAACTCTTGATAACTTAGTTCTCTAAGGGTTCATGTTCCTATATCAAAATTAATTAATTAACAAGAGCTCTCTGTAGTAGAGCATTGTCATTTAAGTATACTATTTCAATTATTCCTGTCCCAATATTGTCCAGTTAGTAGATATCTAATTATTTGCTTATAAGTAAAAAAACAAAAGATTTTTGAAAACTAGATTTGGTATAGCCTTACTCCAGCCCGACAGACTGCAGGGGGCTCAAAGGTCAACATGTTGACAGGCGGGCTTAAAGGTCAATGTCACAGTGACTAAGGTCTGCAATTTGGTTAAAGTCGGTAATACAGAGTATATAGTTACCAACTGAGGTCTGTCCTGTCTATGACCCTTTTAATTTATTCATATGGTGCTAGAAGGATGAATGATTTTTCTAAGTAATCACTACCATGCAATCTGAAATTAATATTTAATTATTATTTATTAAAAAGCTTTTAGACATTCAGAATCTTAATTAAGTACTTTGTCTTCGATATATTGAAATAATTTAAATATGGGGAGAATTTGAACAGACCAGCAAATGATGATTCCAAGATATTTAACTTGTTTTGCTATAAAAAGTGATTAAATTGCTCTCAAAATGCTTGTATGAGTCTCAAATAAGAGTATTTCTACCCCATTCAGTATTTTATTCACACCAGGTTTTCAAGAATTTTTTTATAATAGTCGCCGCAATTTACTTGATTTACAGGAACAAAACTCAAAAACTTAGAATGGAGCAGAACTGAATAAATCCACTATAAACCATTTTTAGGAAAGCGGTATTTTCTAATTGCACAAAAAGTAGTTTTTTCATTTGTTTTATTTAAAAAAAAGTATTGGAGACGTCATTAATAATACATCCTTTTCAATAAATTATAATTTTTAAAAATATATTTTTTTCAGTTTTTCTCAAATTAAACCTCAAAACTTCTCATACTAATATAACATGAAAAACAGATCAAAATAAAGAAATATCTCTTACAAACTGCTTTTAAACTGCAGCGTACGCCGGTACGTTGTTTACACTACTATACTAATGGATTTATTCATTTTTGCACGAAAACATCGCTTTCAACCCTGAATTTTACAAAGATTTATTCAGGCTGGCTTAAACAGGTAGTCTATAAAGATGTAATTTAACAAAGTCAGTTGAATTCCACCACTAACTTCATTTTCATAAAAATTGGATTTATTCAGTTTTGCTAAAAAGCTCCTCAACTGTAATCAACTATAAGCAAATATTTCATACATTAATTATATTATTAGTACCTACTATATTTTAAGTTAAAAATTCAGTATTCCTCATTATTATGAATACTACTCACCTGTTTGGAATCCACATTATCTATATAGATGACCTTGGGAAAGGCCAGAAAATATTTTTTGCTATTTTTTATTTTTAAAACAGGTGTTACAGTTACATATTATGATAGTATTTCACATGATATTTTAAACAATTTAATATAATATCCTGATATTTTAAATTTCTAATCCTCACTGTATTATTTAAATTTTTTTCCATAAAAATTATATAATATTTTTAATAAATCAGCCTATTAATTAAAAATTATATTTTTTGTCCATGAAAAATTTTATTGAAGTAATGCCAAATATTTGTGCCAGGCAACACCAACATTGAAGATATTATATGACATACTTCTAATGTAACTGTAAATAAATAACTTTACTTAATTTTACATTCATTCTTAATTACTGTTTTTCACATTTATAAGATGGCATACAGTCAATTTATTTTCATCATACTGGGTGTTCCTAAATGCTATGTCAGTATTATAGGAGGTAATTCCTTGACCTATTTTATGATTGAATAATAATATTTTTTTTTAATATATATATATATATATATATATATATATATATATATATATATATCTGGTGTTATATTTTTTTATATTGATTTTTCATTAATATCTCCAAAATCATTTTGTCGATTTTGAATAAAATTTGAATGGTAATCTAATAGATATTTTTTAACACCCTGTATTAAAAGAAAAAACCATTTAGAGCACATGTTCATATGAAATTTTCATGAAATAATAATGCTAAAAGTAGATAAATGTACAGAAAAGGTAGAAATATTGTTTATACATGGAATAATTTGTTTGTTATTGTAAGAATTTGTTTGTCATAAATTTTAAATTATTGACATTTTTTTGTTGGTGGAGATAAAAATATTTCTAGGAAAGAAATGCATCATGAAGAAGGTGAAAAATGTATTTAAGAAGTTTTAGTATTTTTTGAGCAACATTTCACAAAAGAAAATCTATAAAATATTTCTCTTTATACATTTCTAAAATAAGATATTTTTAAAGAAAAAAATATCTATTTTCATGACTAATTTACAATTCCTAAGCCATCCTTATCTCCTTAAATTACAACCAATTAGCAAATACAATGCATATAATAGATAACACAGGTATGTTTACTAAACGTGACTTAGTTAAAAGTAAATTTTTGTTTTTAAAATATTTCATACCTTTTTAAGGAAGTCCTTTGTAATAATATAATATGTTTATGTATTTACTAAACATAAATATTTAATAAATTTATATTTTTTTGTCTGAATTTAGAATCCAAGATGAGGCTGTTAGACAATATTATTGTTTTGTCATGAATAAATGATTTATAGAATTTCTGATATCTTAATTATTTGTGACAAATTGAAAATTTATTTTTGAGTATTTTATGTTGAGAATGGGGTGTTAATACAGTGCAATCTAAAAGATCTATTGTGTCGAAGTCTATAACAACCCTTCCAATCCTATCTTCTCAAGAAAGTGTCTGTATTATTTAAAGTATAAATTCGTTTCTGCCTTTTTCACCAAGACGTCTGAATGAAAATTAGTGCTTGGTTTAATAAGTAAAAACATTTAATAACAATAAATTTTTTTCACGTTTTTGAAACTCTCTAAGATCGGAAGCCTGCATCTGCCTGAGCAAGAACAGGCTACGTACTGTAACAGGGATCCTTACCGGGCATTGCCGACTAAAAGGACACCTAAGTAAACTGAGAGTAGTAGAGGATAGTGAGTGCAGATTCTGCGAGGAGGAGGAGGACGAAACCTCCATTCACATCCTAACATAATGTGTAGCACTCCAGAATCCAAGGGCACTATATCTAGGAGGATATCAAATAGAAGAAGGAGATTTACCTAACTTGAAGCCACTTCAAATCCTACACTTCCTTGAGAAAATAGGATTGGAAGGGTCGCTATAGGCATTGAGACATTTCCTTAGTGCAGTGGCGACAGAAGGGGACACAATAGATCTTTTAGGTCGCAGTGTATTAACACCCCATTCTCAACATAACATAATATGAACACTATTAAAAGGATCCTAGGACTGATAATAAATAAAAAATATATATTTTTAGTGCAATACCAGATCACGGTAATACAGCAGAAATAATTTTAACAGTTCTCCATCGTAATTATATTGGAATAGACGAATTCTTGGGCCGAGTAACAATCCCTTTAAATACTTTAGATATATATGAGAGACCTAAGAATAAATGGTTCACCTTACAAAGCAAACCAGGTAATCTTTAGGAAAACACCTCCTAATATAATGTTAATTGATAATTGTTATAATAGCACAATATCTTTACTTTACACCATAAATCCTTCCATCAATTTTAGCAAAAAATGGAAAAGCAAAAAACAAAGAGAGAGGCCAACTTGAGGTTAAACTTGACTTCACTGTCAAATCCGGCAGTTTGACCAGTCTGAACAAAAAGGAAAAACACAGATCATCTATTGGACAACTGTCCCATGTGGCTCAATCTGTTGGCGGTAGTCTGATGAGTTTAGGCAGTGCTGAAAAGAGAAAAGGCATAAAAAAATTCGCCAAATCAATTGGAACAAAAATGAACTTCAAGGGTAAAAAGAAAGGTGGCAGCGATGATGGATCTTCCATTGGTAGTGTGGGCAGTTTAACTATTAGGAGTGGAGACGGAGATAGGTTCAAGAGCAAGCAATCTTTTGAAGATGCCGACCCTGGCGTTGTCAGTGATGATGATGACTTTACAGTAAGTAATAATGTACAGTATGTTAAGTTACCCACAATTACGCTGGAAGAACGGTATAGAATAAGCGATGCTATTGATTAGACAGTGCATACCGGCCTACTAGTGGTATATGTGTATCCATCTGTCCAATCACGGTAGGGAGTCAGGAAATTCACGAGAGTCTCTTAAGGGTCTCCTCTTTATTTCGAAGGTTAACATATTGTATGAAATAATAAATCAAGAAAATTGTATATATTCGTTAATACTAATAAGAGGTGCTATGTCAAAAAATTCAGTTTATTGTTCATAAATATGCAACAAACTGTCTTCCATGCTTTGCAATATGTATTGTATCAGTATTCCATACCAAACATGTATTTATAATATCTGGCAATATGATTTATATAGGAATTCTTATGTAGTACTTATTAGCATTTTATAGTCTCCTATAAAATGAATTTTTCATGACATAGTTCGTATTGGAGTATCGACGACGATATGCTTCATTAATGTTATTCCCTTGTAGCTTGATGATCTGTCACACAAGAGTTCGGCAAGCTCTTTGAATCAAACCGTTTCAAATAGAACTGCATCTCCAATTTTGAAAACCGGGTCAATTGAAAATGTAGTTCCACCTGAAATCCATCGCAAAACATCAGTAAATCTTCCACCCTTAAAACCACCAAGAATAGAACCAAAGTCTCAGGCTCATGATGAATGGGAATCAAAACTTAGTGGAAATAAACCAAGAGGTAAGTTTTTGTAATGAAAATTGACTATTCATATAAGAGTTTTGCTAATGTTGTAGTTGACGGGTCTAGAAATGACTCGCGTATCGGGGACAACACTAATAATTTGTAATTGCTGTGCTGTGTGTGAATGCGTCTTGTTTGTTTTCATTTACGCCGTGATTAGCAGTAGTATTTTATAAACCTTAGAAGCAAATTTCACATACATGAAAAAATAATAATGCCGTGACAACAAGAAGACGCAGCAACGACTTCTCGTAGGGTGGCGGCTTCGCCACCGGAAAATTTCAATCCATACCTGGCTACGCCGACCGGCATAAACACTAACGGCCTGGACACAGCTCACCTACTATGTCAAAAAGAGACCAATGTACAAATAAAACGCATACGACATGCGCACTACAAATAATTAGTGTTGTCCCCGATACGCGAGTTTTCCAGACCTTTCAACTACAACATTACCAGAGTTTTTTTATTTTAAAATGCATAATAAATTAATTATGAACACTATATCTTTAAATCTATCCATTTTGGTCGTCCTTATTTTTCTCTTTATGCCACCATTGTATCTTCCACTCGTTATCATTGTTCAATAAAGGTTTATTCTCCTTGTTTTCCAATTTTCTTTCTGCAAAATATTGATTTCTTGTTTTTTACTAGTTTCTTAATTATAAAGATTTACAAATGTCCCAGTAAGATAGTAGTGCTACCTCCATGACCTTATATTAATTAATTTTAACAATATTTAATTTGTGTATTATACCATTGGTGCTATGGTTTCGAAAGAATTTCATGCATTAATAGACATTTGATTCTTTTATGAGTTAAATTCAAAAAAATCTGTCAAAAGTCAAATGTCTTCTTCTATACTTTTGTCATTTTCGTGGCCTTTTTACTATATAAATATGGTAATTCTTCTCTTTAATATAATTATTTTAGTACCTTTTATCTAGTACAATAATCAGTCTAAAAATAGAACAAATAATTGATTAAAACAGACCAGTGGCTACTGCGAAATTTTTGAATACTATAATAGTTACCAAAGTAGAAGAAAGTGAAATTTCATATTTTGAATTTAAAATTACAATAATTATTCACTAAAAACCACATTTCCTTTACACATTATTTCTATTATTTAAATAGTTGTTCTAAACGTTATCAAAAACAAGCAATTTCTGTTTTAGCTATTCTACGACCAGGTAGCACCGAGTCATTAAACCGTAGATCATGGGATTCTTCAAAACTGGCTTCACAAATCGAAGAGGAACCCACCGATTTATTGGAAGTACCTGTAAGCAAGTTAGACACGATCAGTTTGAAATCGAACAGATCTCCGGATACTCCAAGGAAAGAGCTTAAAGAAGGAATGTTTTCAAAATTTAAGAATTTCAGGAAAGGTTAGTTCTGAACATTTTTTAATTTTTTTTGTATCAATTATGCTTTAAACAGCTTTTAAGAACCTATTTTTAAGAAAAAACATTGTACGTATCTCTAATGTGTCAAAAAAGCTATACTCAAGTACTTATGCCTCTATAACATGAGGTAGGTGTGTTCACTGATAATAACTCTGCTTAATCAACATTTGGTATGATTCAATATAATGTATCAGAATATCATCAAGAATAGAAATTTCTATTGATCAGGTCTTATTAAGTACTTTAAAATATACAGTAAGATTGGGAAAAGTACTGTAACATAAAGGTTTTCATAAAACTAAACAAAATGTACATACTTTAAATCAAATATATTACAGCACCATTACATTTTTATTATTACAAGTTTCAAGTTTTTTTATGTTTTGTGGAAGGGGTCATATTAGGCATATATGCCTGTCTTGTGAGGTCCCCTCTATAATAAGGTTGTTTGAAAAATACAAAAAATTAAAAAAAAAAGTAGATTTATTAACAGGAGTCCAAAAATGAGATAAGTTCTAAACTTTCTCTTATTTAGTTTAGCAGAAGTCAACTAGCAATACTAAAAAAGGCAACAGAAATAATAAAATATAGGTATGTTATTTACAATTTTATTAAAATATATTTCAAACATATCTAGGCTAGTTTGGATCATTTTTTAAATTTCAGTTTTAAACTTGGTTGATTGTTTCGTTACTAAAAAGAGAATTTCACACAATTTGGGACCAAAATAGAAGAATGATCTTTATGTTACCGCTTTCTGAAAATTTCTACATTCAAGTTTGAATTGCCCTAGTTGTTTATGAAACCTTGTTTAATTTATCCTTATCTCTGTATATCCTTTGAAGACACTGATAGGTATATAATTATCTTATACAAGGTTGCATAAAAGAAGATTAAATTTTAAATCGAGGATAATACATTTTATCTATGGATATTTATTATCTCTAGATTAGAAAATCCTATTATTTTGTGAACGAGCCACATTTTAATTCGTTAATTCATCAAACTAGTTGTCATTTATTTCGGATTGATGTATAACTTCAAAATTAATGCAAGCAAGCGTGAAAGTGCAAGAACTTTACTGAATACTGAATTAGACTAGATAAATTTACTAAATATTAACAAAATAATTAGAAGTCACAAACTTATGCATACAAATCTCAATATAATCCTTCAAATAAATACAACCCAAATATTACATTAGCTTAGATAATAAAATCTAGAGATAAGAAATATCCATGGATAAAATGTATTATCCTGGGTTTAAAATTTAATCTTCTTTTATGCAACCCACTATTAAAGTAGACAATTTTAATAATTGATATATATGAATATAGTCTATCATTTTTAAATATTTTAATTAATGTATTTAATGTAGTTTGTACATTTTGTGACATGCTGTTAAATGTGCTTCCCCATGTTATTTATACAGTACTTTAAAATTGATTTAGAAATTGAATTATAAATCATAAATTTATTTTTTTAATAGCATATTTCTAATGTAACATTTAATAAACAAGACTTTTAAGCATTTTGTAAAGTAAATAACGTGTCCATTTCTTCTTATGTGCTGAATGATTGACCATTATACCTAAATATTTTATTCCTATTGTTATTTATAAGATGGGACAGTTACATCTAGTGTCGTTGCATTTAGAGTTATTTAGTTTAATGACTATTTTAGGTTGAAAAACTGGAGTAGGAGAAAAGGTCATATGTTTTTCTTATATTTAGAGACAATAAAATATATTCTAGATATCTCTGTATCTGTAACGTGTGGAGGGTTGGTTAACCCACGGCACTTAGGCCCATTGGCGTCGAGCAATCGTAAAGGATATGCTCGATGGTCTCATCTTCTTGTTCGCACCCTCTGCAGAGTGCGGATTCTGACAGCCCCATGCTGTGGAGATGCTTCCGTACTTGGCAATGAACAGTAGTATGCCTGTGATCAGGCGCAGTCATAGTCAACTATTTGTTTGCTGTAGTGTTGTTACGATAACTTAAAAGCTCCCTGGCAACTTTGCAGCTTCTTGTTTCATGCCATCTTTCCTTGAATTTCACAAGGGAATGTATCTTTAATTAGGTGTGTCACTACCGATGTTTTCAGTCCAATAGAAGAGCCAAGACCAAAAATTATTTGGTTTGCTGCCTTCTTGGCTAGTAAATCAGCAAGACTTACCTTTCGATGTGGTGTGACCTTTGATCCATCTTAAAGTGACCACATTGTTGATGGATACTTATGCCAAAGCTTTGTGACATTCTAATACTAACCCTGAGTAAATTCGTGGTCTGTCCAGAGTGAGTAGTACTTGTCTACTATCTGTATAGATGATTGTTTCTTTCAGTGATATTGTTTCTGGTAACTTCTTTGGCTACTATGAGAATTCTTGTGAGCTCAGTTTGAACTATATTGGAACTATTGCTCACAGCTCATTTTATGCTTAGGTTCAAGGATCTGGAGTACCTGCCACTTCCGGCTCTGTTATAGAAGGCTTATGGAAGATATATCTTGGTGAGATGGAGTCCATGTTCGCTTGAAGCAGTGGGAGCGTATCGAGCGCATCCTGCTAAAAGCCACGTCTCGCCTCACCAGATCCTACATCAGGTTCTATTCCGACCGTGCGGAGGCGTGTCATTGTCATCAGAAATTACTTCTATGGCTCTGGTTTGTGTGGTTTTCATGGCTCCTGTTGAGACATTCTGTTCTTTGAATTTCTTCTAGTTTGTGGATAGCTGTCAATTTTTTGGTATAATAATCTAGATATATTGTTTTCTTTTAAGCAGGCTTGTTTTTTTTTGACTTCATCTCAAGATTTCCTAGTCACAACAAGGTCAGTGTCATCAGCATAAAATACAAGTTTCCCTTTATTTAAAATGGTTTATGTTGGAGATGTTATTTATATAACTTAAAAATAGAATTGGATCCAATACTTTCCCCAGGTGTACTCCTATTTGTACTATTAAATCTGCACTTAATTCATTCATCTAAATCAAGTGCTGACCTTTAATGCCATAGTTACTCATTCTGATTAAGATATCATAGTGGTGAACCGTATTGAAGGCCTCAACCAGATCAAGAAAAACTGCTAGGCATTTACTTCATCTGTATAAGAACCTGACTACAGGTTCAAGTAAGTTTATTGTCCCATTTTCATTACTTGCTTACAGCCTGTTCAAACATTATTTATAACGGATATTGGTCTATAGTTATTCATTTGGGTATAATCACTGGATTTAAAAATTTAAGTAACCATAGTAAGTTTGCACTGACATGGTATTATTCCACAAGTCAAAGCAAGGTTTATAATATGCGATAAAGGAGTCACTACATGTATAAATGTGAATATATTTAATGAGTTTAGTTTCTATTTTATCAGCAGTGGGATTCTCATCTTTCGATACGGCACATGTAATGTGTCTCTCTATTCAACACGTTTTTAAATTGGAAATTAATATTATTTCTGAAACGGTTACTGGTTGCAAACAAAGAGAATCTTTTATCTTTCTAAGAAATTCTTTGATGAACATATTTTTTTGATTTAATTTTCCATATTTTTACCCAAATTTGTAAAGAAATTATTAAATAACTTTGCTTTTTCTTTGTTATTTTTAACTAAACTTCCATTTTCATTTATAATATTAGTATTTGACTTGAAATATTTTTTACATCCACTTAATTTGTTTTTTTTAATGATGTATTTAATTATACTGTTTTTTAATGGATCCCCTATATACATATTTGCTTATTTGTAGTAGTTGCATATAGAATGTGTTTTAGATAAATCTGAATTTAACCCAGAGCACGTTAAACCTACCAGTAACTCAAGTGAACGAATCATTATAGGAGGAGAAACTGAATTGAAAGTGCCTGCCCACAATAGTCGTATATCTAGTGAATTACTTCAGAAATTCGATGGAAAGTCGAGAGAGGTATTTATAAATTTTGTAACCTATTTGTTTAAGTAAAATATGATGTGTCCAACATAAGACTTTCCTGTAAAGTTGTCAGATATATTGAGTATGGCCTATCTATTCAAAAAATGTTTCTAATATGAATTAAAGATAAACATTATTTGTATTATATTTTCAAATCTTTATTGCCAACTAAAATACTTATAAATTCAAATTATATTCTTTCGTCAAATTTCTCCATTTCTCCACTTCTCCAACTTCTTCTTCTGTCACACCTAAAAAAATGATAAGAAATAGAAAAATCTAGAAGCGCAGCCATAGGCCCCGCCTGAAACGATTTTAAAGCGCCCAACTGCCCCTCACCCCTAATTCAACCCCCCACTCCAGAGGAGGTTGATATATGGAACCTCTAGACTTAACTTCGGGTACGATGGATTGAACTTTGAGAAGATAAAAAAATTTAATCCCCAAAGGAGAAGTCGCTTCATCCGCCTCTAAATGTTGGTGAGATATTTTTGGTATAGATAATTAAAAACTTTGAAAAATTCGAAGAGTAGGCTGACGTCCTTTCGATATGGTTCATGACAGAGTGCAAGCTGAGGTCGGATATAGTAGAGCGATGTGGGTTACCCACCCCAAGCCCACCTTTTTTTAGGAGCCTCAAGAATAACCTTATTTTATTGAATTTATTTTTTATTTAATTATAATGGTACTGAACTATGTTGTATTGTAAGTACCCATAAAAGTTCATGATCGCAGATATACAATGAACGAATGTATAAGAATAAAAAAAAAAGGTTGCAAACATGCAAATGCATGTTTTCCTCAAATTTTCAGCAGTGATTATGGTCGAATTTCGACCACTGATTGAACACTAGTTATTATTAAAAGAGAAGTTGAGGCTGTGAGTCTCCTTGGAATTTTATTTTGTTGACTTTGTCTTTAATGATATCAACTCCATATTTTATTGATGACTTTTATACCCCCAAATTTGATTGTTCCTTTATTAAAGTTTGTAACAAATTATTTAGCTTTAACTTCATAATTTTCTGATTGTTACTTTTCCATTCTAGGCCTGCTCATGACTCTTGGGTCTAAAATGGGTCATATAATTTTAGTATTAAATTTACATGACCACATTTGAGCAGTTGAATACCCTGCACTTCTTTTTTGATTTTTTGCAAATACTGAGTTTTGCATTTAAGGGGCTTATATCCTCGTCTTTGGATTCAAGATAATTTAGGAAATACGTTTTTCGATGGAAATTTGCTTGTTATGAGTTTTGTAGATTTTAAATTCAAAATAAAATGTCATTTTCTACTTCTATACTTATGTAATAGTGGCCTTTTTCTTGAAGAAATATCTTCTCTTACTTTATTTTTTGTTGCCCTTTATCTACTACAATAACCAGTCTAAAAAAAATAGTGACCAAAATATAGGTTGAAACAGACCAGTTGCTGTTGACCAAATTTCTTCAGGAATAAGGCCACGAATTTACTAAAGTATAGAAGAGTGAAAAGTGACAGTTGACGTTTCTCAGATTTGAATTTAAAATTTCCACCGATAAATACGTGTATTTCTTGAAGTTTTATACAAAAAATAATGCTTATTTGATGTTATAACTGTTAATTTTACAATGAATGGAACAATAAATGTTTTTTGTTTGGATTTGTTGACTAAAAGGTAGTATAAAGTTTCACATATTTTAGGATTTGATAATGGCTTTAGTTGAAACTCAACATGATCTAGAAAAGCAAAAAAAGAAATTGAAAGATCTTGAAGATTATTTGGATGACCTGTTACTGCGTGTTATGGAAACCACTCCACGAATTCTACAAAATCCCTATGTTACTTGCAAAATAGCAGCACACAAACAAATAACGTAAGTATGAGATCTGTTGTAGCTTTTATTCTAGTTACATTTATAGCATTTCCAAGTTCATATGTTCCTGAAAATCAAGAGATATGAACAATTTAAAAATATAAAGTTTTTTTTTTATTTTATAGATCACGAATAAATTTCAAAAATATTTACGAATGAGGATCTGCCTTGTGGGAAGTGCCTCAAAAAAAACAGTAAACATATTTTTCTACTATTTGCCTATTCTTCTAATTGTTTGTGATGTAATAACTACGCACCATTGGCAAACTTGATAATTTTTGAATTATTTGAGCTTCCCCGTATGGTAGATATTTTTCTAACATTTTAATGTTTTAACATTTAATTTTAGACAAATCGTCAACTTTTATTACAATACATTTTCATGAGAAATCAAAATGTATCATACCTCTCTATTTTTATAATTTAATTCTAAAAATGGTTCTATTTTTGTATGATCATGATGTAGCCTGACATATTTTTAATGTTTTAATGATGCATGTTAAGTTCTAGAACAATCGCCAATTTGTTTAAAGAGTAATTTTTTTTGAAAAAAGATCAAAAGTACCCTTTGGTGCGTACCACACTGTTTAACTTAAGTATCATTATTAAATAATGCTTGAGGAAACAGTGTACCTTTAATTTGTTGCTATCATAACCTCATACTAAGAGTTGCTTATATGGATGTGGTTCAAGGCTTTTTTATGTATAAAAATGTGTTTTTTGAATTAGGTTTAAAACCACATCTATCTAATCGCCCTAGAATTATATGCTTTTTCATGTATTCGCCTTCTAAATCAATGATTATTATAAACACCCAGAAATTTACTTTAGTCTACTTGCTTATAGATGGCTGTATCAGCTAATTTTGTTAAATAAAGGCTATACACTAATAACGTAATAAAGATGTACTTTTTCTTTAATTTATTTCTTAATAGCTGGTGCCGAAGTGTTGTCCAAGCTTTTTTTTTTTTTTTTTTTTTCAACAAAAAGCAAAATATTTTAATTATAATTCAGGGCAACTATGAAAATAATGCTTTCCTTTCATTTACAGATACAGTTTAGTATTTAGAGTAAACAATTTTTATTATCTATACTGTTAGATACATCTATTAGAAAATTTATTCTAGATTTAAATTTACTTTACAAACTGAAAATGTAATTTTAGTTCCTTATTTTATACAAACACTTGAAGTAAACACTCTGTATATTAAAATGATTATAAATGGTGCTTAAATACTTTTTACTCTAAATGTTTCAATATTTTTGTTTTACCATTCTATTTAACACTAAATTTGTATTATTTCAGAAGTTGAAGTTAGATCCAGCAGTAAAATTATTGTGCCAGTACCTATTCGAGAATTAATTATTCAACGTAACATAGCTTGGAAAAAACATCACTTCCTAGAGATAACTTCCATTTTATTGCACATCACTAACCCCAATTTTGGTAATGGTATTCAATCTACTCTTCAAATTTATATTGTAATATTGTTACTATGAAGGAAATACAATAATTATTAATCATATACATTGTACTTGTTTCGCTTTTTACAGAGCTTCCCTTTCATACAAATCACATCACCCTAATTTCGTTTTAATCGAGTCACTCATTGGGGTAGTTCTGTGAGAAGCGAAATATGCATGTTTTATTTTTTAAACTTGTTAAGCCTTTAACTTAAATAAGTGCCTTTACAGAAAATGTTCAATATTTAAAAGACCTACTAGTGATTTTGTATGATAATTTCTCACATTTTGTGATACTGCTTTGATAACAGGAATTATAAAATGTTTGAGATAATTTAAAGGCCTTTGTTACTAGAGTTAATTGAAATAATGTTTTCGTTAAATATTTATTGAGTTATGTGTAAAAGAGTTTAGTTTTAATGACATTTAATTTTAATCCAGTGGCGTAAAACAATGTTATCAGATAGGCGTTCTCGAGCCATGTTTTTTTTATAATCTAAAATAGTTTGTTCTCACTCGTTACTGATTTATTAGGGCTGTTCTGAAAGATTTTAGCTAGAACCTAACTATGAACATTTTAAAGATTTCGCTGATACCAAGGCAGCAAAAAAGAATTGTTACCTGCAAGATATGGACTAATATTTGATTTTACAAAAGAATATTGGTATTAGTAAAGGATAAAAACATTTTTTTGTACTAAAATGTTATAGAACAGTCTTCGAATTTTATCACTTGCATTTTTTTCTCTTATATGAGAGAATCACCTGTAAAACGTTGCCCCTGCTAAGGTTAAGAGGTTGTATCTACAAAACGAAAACTTTAGACTTTGTAAAGTGATAAGTTTTGCAGTTGTGACCAACCTTTATACGTAAGTTTCAATATTTTTCAATGCAGATAGGTCTTTCTAACTTTTTATCGTAATAAAATAAATTGTAAAAATCTCAAAATTAGAACTTTTGTAAATGCGATCTCTCGTCTTAGCAGAGCAGAACAGTAACATCGAATGTGATAATTTAAAATTATTGAAAGATTACCTAGAAATGTCTATCAATCTGTCCAAATGTAATAATTGCCTTTAGCCCGTTTTTACATTCATTTTTCAGATTGTCTTATGAAGTAAATCTAAAAAGCTTATTTCATATCAAAATTAAATAATATTTTATATCTGTATTCATATTGAGCTATTAAAATTAAAACAAGCTAAAAAATGATAGATTGACAGCATTTTAAACTACCTAATAATTTATGATATAAGTATAGATAAGCATTTTAAAGACTTTTCTGAGCTACTGATATGTGTGCTTCCAATATTCACCATTCGCTCATGCGGATATGACAAATATTTTTTTTGAACTGACTGTATTTTGTTTGGTTGTGATTGAAAACGTCCAATCTCCACCTATATCTTTCAATGGGTAGGCGGTGTAAGAGTAATTTTAGGTTATGACTTTTGTATAGAAGCAAAGTGTATGGTGAATAGATATTACAAAGGATGCTTTGTATTAACTTGATTTGTAACATTAATTCAAGTTCAGAAATATATAAATCGGCTTAAATGACCATGGCAATACATTTTACGTAAAAATCCTTTAGCCCTTTCACTGTTCAAAATGACTATATTCGATAGAGCTATGGGCACCGTTTAAAAAATTTTCAGGGGGGCAAGTCTTGTAGACAGGATCAAAACGCCGCAAGCTATAGTCTAAAGCCATGGCGAAAAATCACCAATCCAGGGGGTCAACGCCCCACTTGCCCTTGAGCAGCGAAAAGGTTGATAGGCAATAGCCAGAATAAATAGGATTGCCATAGACAAGATTTACCTCTTTTCTTAAGAAAATTGCTCAGAAAACGTTCTTATGATGTGTATAACCTCTATACAGTACACGGATATTGTTTCTTGATATATTCACGAATCCTTTTTTATGAAATGTAGTTTGGTAAAGTGCATTATACTGACTAATTATATAATTTTTAAACGAATTTGAATAAATCTTGTTTTCTAATAAATGTTTTTTTTTTACCGTAGATGCCTGACAAAATTTGGAAAAGCAGTTAGAGAACGTAAGAATATAGGCAACGAACATAACGACACTAGTGTATTCTGTGTTGCCTATCAGATATACACTTATTTTTGCCGCGTTTGAGAATCTACATCGGATACATTTTTTTACATCTAGAGCATTTTTTTATCCACATCTGTCGCATTACATTTACGTATACTGAGTCACGTGATCAAAGATTTACTACATATCCGATGTGGATTCTCAAACGCGGCATTTGCGTACTTATTTCAAAAAAGGCGGGAAAATAAAGATCATAATTATCTCGTCGCTCTCCTGAAAAGCAACTGCATTCGTTCTTAATTTGTTATGCTCTCTTTTGTATGTAACCAAATTTGAATCAAAATCGGAGACGAAATAAAATCTTAAATCGACGAAAAATGGACGTTTGAAAAAAATATTAAAATTTCCAAAAAAAGTTTTTATTGCATGGGTCGATAGCACAACAAATTAAGGGGTAAACGCAGTGGCTTTTCATCTATACGATTTTGTTGTTTTTTTTTTTTTCGTTTTTCTTGGTAACTAATTATCAAAATAAATTCACACAAATGTAGAGCAGGACAGATATATCAGAGGGCTCTATGCCGTTCGTCTCTATCTTCAGCAGTTCTAGTTCAAAGACGTCAAACGCGAATATCTCGGAAACGGTAAGAGATAGCGCAAAATGACCAGTAGGTTGACGGACAGAACCTTAAATGAAGTAAGTAGAGAGCTCTATCGGCCCATACAATAAAAAAACATTTTTAAATTGAAATTTTAAAAAGTATACTTTTCGTCGATTTCAGAAATTTTATTTTTCGTCTCCGGTTTTGATGCTCACTTTGTTATTTCACAAACATGTAGAGCAAAACAGATAAATTAGAGGGCTCTATGTCATTCGTTTCTATCTTGAGCCGTTCCAGTTCAAAAACTTTAAGGTAGTTCACTCGTAAAACGGCTTTTCTTAAGAATTCAATAAAATTGAAATATAAGGTTAATGAAAGTTAATAAAGGTTAAGTAAATAAGGAAAATTAAATTTTAGGACCATATGTGAAACGAGATTTGTGTCCGATCTTGATGAACTGAGTATATTTTTGAGATCTACATGTGACCTTCTATCCGTATGCAAATTTAAATTGTTTTTTATTTTTTCAAAAAAATCGAAAGGGTATAGCCTTCAAAATTTTTCGACAAAAAATTTTTTTGTGTCCGATCTTGATGAAAATTGGGGTACATATAAAGGAAAGCACGAGCAATTAAGGGGTGAACTCAGTTGCTCCCTAGCTATAAGGGTTAACTTTTTTTTCTTAATTCCTCAGTTAATAATAATCGAATTATTCCATAAATTCACATAAAGGTAGAGCCGGACGGATAGTTTAAAATGCCCTCTGCGGCTTGCCTCTATCTTGAGCCGTTTAGTCGTTATTCACATTTAAAAATAAGTCAAATACCTTGTCGCGTTTCTGCTATCCTGATACCAAAATTTTGTAGACAAAATTGGATCTTTTCGAATTCGGAACTTTGTATCAGGATAATAGATGAGCGAGGAGATATCAAAAATGTTTATTTTTGCCACAACTTTTTTAATATTGCTGTTAGAAAAAAACTGAGTATATTTTTGAGATCTACATGTGACCTTCTATCCGTATGCAAATTTAAATTGTTTTTTATTTTTTCAAAAAAATCGAAAGGGTATAGCCTTCAAAATTTTTCGACAAAAAATTTTTTTGTGTCCGATCTTGATGAAAATTGGGGTACATATAAAGGAAAGCACGAGCAATTAAGGGGTGAACTCAGTTGCTCCCTAGCTATAAGGGTTAACTTTTTTTTCTTAATTCCTCAGTTAATAATAATCGAATTATTCCATAAATTCACATAAAGGTAGAGCCGGACGGATAGTTTAAAATGCCCTCTGCGGCTTGCCTCTATCTTGAGCCGTTTAGTCGTTATTCACATTTAAAAATAAGTCAAATACCTTGTCGCGTTTCTGCTATCCTGATACCAAAATTTTGTAGACAAAATTGGATCTTTTCGAATTCGGAACTGTGTATCAGGATAATAGATGAGCGAGGAGATATCAAAAATGTTTATTTTTGCCACAACTTTTTTAATATTGCTGTTAGAAAAAAACTGAGTATATTTTTGAGATCTACATGTGACCTTCTATCCGTATGCAAATTTAAATTGTTTTTTATTTTTTCAAAAAAATCGAAAGGGTATAGCCTTCAAAATTTTTCGACAAAAAATTTTTTTGTGTCCGATCTTGATGAAAATTGGGGTACATATAAAGGAAAGCACGAGCAATTAAGGGGTGAACTCAGTTGCTCCCTAGCTATAAGGGTTAACTTTTTTTTCTTAATTCCTCAGTTAATAATAATCGAATTATTCCATAAATTCACATAAAGGTAGAGCCGGACGGATAGTTTAAAATGCCCTCTGCGGCTTGCCTCTATCTTGAGCCGTTTAGTCGTTATTCACATTTAAAAATAAGTCAAATACCTTGTCGCGTTTCTGCTATCCTGATACCAAAATTTTGTAGACAAAATTGGATCTTTTCGAATTCGGAACTGTGTATCAGGATAATAGATGAGCGAGGAGATATCAAAAATGTTTATTTTTGCCACAACTTTTTTAATATTGCTGTTAGAAAAAAACTGAGTATATTTTTGAGATCTACATGTGACCTTCTATCCGTATGCAAATTTAAATTGTTTTTTATTTTTTCAAAAAAATCGAAAGGGTATATATAGCCTTCAAAATTTTTCGACAAAAAATTTTTTTGTGTCCGATCTTGATGAAAATTGGGGTACATATAAAGGAAAGCACGAGCAATTAAGGGGTGAACTCAGTTGCTCCCTAGCTATAAGGGTTAACTTTTTTTTCTTAATTCCTCAGTTAATAATAATCGAATTATTCCATAAATTCACATAAAGGTAGAGCCGGACGGATAGTTTAAAATGCCCTCTGCGGCTTGCCTCTATCTTGAGCCGTTTAGTCGTTATTCACATTTAAAAATAAGTCAAATACCTTGTCGCGTTTCTGCTATCCTGATACCAAAATTTTGTAGACAAAATTGGATCTTTTCGAATTCGGAACTTTGTATCAGGATAATAGATGAGCGAGGAGATATCAAAAATGTTTATTTTTGCCACAACTTTTTTAATATTGCTGTTAGAAAAAAACTGAGTATATTTTTGAGATCTACATGTGACCTTCTATCCGTATGCAAATTTAAATTGTTTTTTATTTTTTCAAAAAAATCGAAAGGGTATAGCCTTCAAAATTTTTCGACAAAAAATTTTTTTGTGTCCGATCTTGATGAAAATTGGGGTACATATAAAGGAAAGCACGAGCAATTAAGGGGTGAACTCAGTTGCTCCCTAGCTATAAGGGTTAACTTTTTTTTCTTAATTCCTCAGTTAATAATAATCGAATTATTCCATAAATTCACATAAAGGTAGAGCCGGACGGATAGTTTAAAATGCCCTCTGCGGCTTGCCTCTATCTTGAGCCGTTTAGTCGTTATTCACATTTAAAAATAAGTCAAATACCTTGTCGCGTTTCTGCTATCCTGATACCAAAATTTTGTAGACAAAATTGGATCTTTTCGAATTCGGAACTTTGTATCAGGATAATAGATGAGCGAGGAGATATCAAAAATGTTTATTTTTGCCACAACTTTTTTAATATTGCTGTTAGAAAAAAACTGAGTATATTTTTGAGATCTACATGTGACCTTCTATCCGTATGCAAATTTAATTTTTTTTATTTTTTCAAAAAAATCGAAAGGGATAGCCTTCCAAATTTTTCGACAAAAATTTTTTTTGTGTCCGATCTTGATGAAAATTGGGGTCCGTCATTATCAGTTCATTTTTGAAAATTAGGATTTTAATGAGGTAGACTATTTATTGTAAAATGAAATAAAACAAAGTCAATTAACGAACTTTTTATTAATGAAAAATAAATTATAAACGTTTTAAGTAATCCTAGTGAATGTCAAGTTTTCGTTTTTTTCCTGAAGGTTCTCCTTGCGTATCATCTGAAATTTCAATTACATCATCACCAACATCATCATCAATCTTACTATCAGCTTCTTTTGTTTTAGAAACAGGAAAATTTATTTCATATTTGTAAGGCATTAAGACTTCGGTAGTTTTATTAACGATCTTAATACCTCTCTGTATATATCCCAATGTTGTATAAAGGGTATAACCTTTCTCTATAACAAAATATTCTTTAGAAATAAGATACCCAATAATATGTTCTCCCACTTGTTTTGGACATTTGGGCAACTTTAAGTTCGGAGGCCTGATTTCTTTATTTCCAGATTGAAACCAGGCATTGATTAATTTGTTTAACGTGACTTTTACTTCTTTACTACTGGCTACTTCAATTATTTTCGTTATATCTAATAGACTCTCGGTAATATTATAGTGCGATACTGATTTTCGATGTAAACAATGATCACACATTTTCGAACAGTCAGTCTGTCGCCAGGTATCTTCAAAATGTTCTGCTATTAAAGCTCTTCTACACCTAAAAAATAAATAGTTAATGGATTATAAGTACACACTACCCCATGGATAAATGCGCCACTAAAACGTAGGCAACCATAAAGCGATTCGTGACTGGCAAAACACACACCACACACACACACACACACCCCACACACACACCACACATACACACACACACCCCACACACACACCACACACGCGTGCGTGTGCGTGTGCGTGTGCGTGTGCGTGTGTGTGTGTGTGTGTGTGTGTGTGTGTGTGTGTGTGTGTGTGTGTGTGTGTGTGTGTGTGTGTGTGTGTGTGTGTGTGTGTGTGTGTGTGTGTGTGTGTGTGTGGTTGTGGTGTGTGTGTGGTTGTGGTGTGTGTGTGTGGTTGTGGTGTGTGTGTGTGGTTGTGGTGTGTGTGTGTGGTTGTGGTGTGTGTGTGTGGTTGTGGTGTGTGTGTGTGGTTGTGGTGTGTGTGTGTGGTTGTGGTGTGTGTGTGTGGTTGTGGTGTGTGTGTGTGGTTGTGGTGTGTGTGTGTGTGGTTGTGGTGTGTGTGTGTGGTTGTGGTGTGTGTGTGTGGTTGTGGTGTGTGTGTGTGTGGTTGTGGTGTGTGTGTGTGGTTGTGGTGTGTGTGTGTGGTTGTGGTGTGTGTGTGTGGTTGTGGTGTGTGTGTGTGGTTGTGGTGTGTGTGTGTGGTTGTGGTGTGTGTGTGTGGTTGTGGTGTGTGTGTGTGGTTGTGGTGTGTGTGTGTGGTTGTGGTGTGTGTGTGGTTGTGGTGTGTGTGTGGTTGTGGTGTGTGTGTGGTTGTGGTGTGTGTGTGGTTGTGGTGTGTGTGTGGTTGTGGTGTGTGTGTGGTTGTGGTGTGTGTGTGTGGTTGTGGTGTGTGTGTGGTTGTGGTGTGTGTGTGGTTGTGGTGTGTGTGTGGTTGTGGTGTGTGTGTGGTTGTGGTGTGTGTGTGGTTGTGGTGTGTGTGTGGTTGTGGTGTGTGTGTGGTTGTGGTGTGTGTGTGTGGTTGTGGGGTGTGTGGTGTGTGTGTGGTTGTGGGGTGTGTGGTGTGTGTGTGGTTGTGGTGTGTGTGTGGTTGTGGTGTGTGTGTGGTTGTGGTGTGTGTGTGTGGTTGTGGTGTGTGTGTGTGTGTGGTTGTGGTGTGTGTGTGTGGTTGTGGTGTGTGTGTGGTTGTGGTGTGTGTGTGGTTGTGGTGTGTGGTTGTGGTGTGTGTGTGGTTGTGGTGTGTGTGTGGTTGTGGTGTGTGTGTGGTTGTGGTGTGTGTATTTACCATAACTCATGAACCGATACACAGAAAAACACCAAATTTTTAAATTAAGCTTTATTCCAGCGTCCAATGAACCGATTAGATTTTGGGCAGAGTCGTAACATCTGGGGGGGGGGGGTACTTTATAGGTGGTTATTTTTATATTTTATGGAATATGTTATTTACGTTTGGAGAAGAAAATTCTTTAAATAAAAGTTACTTCTAATATTATCTATAATTATTGTTATATACAGAATTTTCCAAAAGTATTCGAGAAATTTGACAAAATGTATGAAAATTGTTCAAATAAAAGTTGTTTGTAATATAATTCTCTATAATTTTTATCCCATACATAATATTTCTAAAATGGACCGTATTCGAGATATTTGAGAAAATGTGTAAATTTCGAATTTTGCTGAAAACTCAAAAACGGATAAAGAAAAAAACATTAAATTTTAAACTTAAGTTTTATTTCGGCCTGACGTAAAATGATTAGATTTTGGACAAAGTCGGAACATCTGGGGGGCGGGTACTTTATGGGAGGCCGTTTAAATATTTTATGGAATATATCTGTTATTTATGTCTGGAGAAGAAAATTGTTAAAATAAAAGTTACTTCTAATATTATTATCTATAATTTTTGCTTCATGTCAAAATTTCCTGAAATGGTCCGTATTCGAGAAATTTGACAAAATGTGCAAAATTCTGATTTTTATGAAAATTGTTAAACTAATAGTTGTTTGCGATATCGATCTCTATAATTTTTGTTTATACATGATTTTTCTAAAATGGACCGTAATGGAAAAATTGTAGGAAAAGTGCTAAATTTAAATTTTTCAGTATTTTCGTTTTCAATGAATATCTATAGAAAAATGTTTCGAGGTAGATGTATGTGTGAAAATGTATTTATTTAGTTCATCCTCTAAAAACATTTATAGAGGTGCTGCAATAGGTTGTACAAAATAACCGGAAAAAGCCTATAATAACTAGATAGGAAAGTCATGTGTTGGACACATCAGATTTTTATATTAATTTTAGTAAAATCTTACCTAGACTGCTCCATACAATAATGTAAGACGGATTTGGCATTTCTTTCTTCTGTTTTGTTTGTGGACATGGCGGCAGTTTTTATATAATCTGTTAGGTTAAACATTAGAACACAGTCGGCTGATTGACCATCTCTGCCAGCTCTTCCACTCTCTTGATAAAAAGCTTCCATGCTTCTCGGTGCAGAATAATGAATAACAAAACGTACATCAGGTTTATCTATAACACAAGAAAATATTTTATGCATTAAATAAAAATTGGAAACAAATTTTCAGTTGATGTATTCATTGCAAAAAGTTCACTAAACAGGTAAAACACTTAGTTATGGAAATTTGTTTGGCAATATACCAAGCCAAGTATGTAATTAAATAAAAGATATATCATTGATAATTCTTTCATTTTTCCATATTCCATCGAGTTAGTTTATGTAACATAACACAATCATGTTAAATGCCAGGAAAATATACTATACATTTTTTAACTAGTTAGCAGCTCTTATTTCCTCCATTTTTCGCCAGAATTTTTCATAAGTAAGTCGCTATATTCTAGCAAGAAAAATTGCAACATCTGATCGAAAGTACCTTAATGCACATACGTGCAAACGAACTGCAGCAATTTCACTTGAAGACAACGAAAATTAACAACTGTAAAGTGACTGTTAGCAAGCTCTAACCAAATATATGGCTGACAGGCAACACTGCTATCATAATAAATGTTGCCTATACAATTTTATAAATTCATATAACAGGGACAGAAGTTGAAAAGGCTTTTGGTAGGTAGAGTAGAAAGACTTCGAGCATTTAGCAGTAATGTTTGTTCGCCATTGCCGTATCATAGAATAAAAATAATAAACATTTTAAATTATTACTGGTGAAATCAGGCGAACATATCTATTCATGGGCTACAAATAATTATTTAAACAAGTAATAATAGCCCAAATTATAATTCTACAAAATTTCAACAGCTATTCCCATTTTATTAAACTATTTACGCGAAATTGTTATTAGCATTTATACATTTTCTGTGCCAATATTCTCGTTCACATCGGTTAACTCCGCCGCAAAAACTGTCAAATCCTGTGTGTGACGTGAAAGAACTGGCAAAAGCCTTTCCAGCTTCTGTCCTTACTATACATAGATGACACACTAGTAGGTAATTTAATGTTTCAAATTTGAATAGTTTTGAATTCTACTAGCAACACAAAATACACCAATGTGTTAATGTAAGTTGCCTGTATACTTTTATATAGAGGAGGCCTTTGGAAGATAAAGAGAGGTAGAGCAGGGACAGAATTTGGAAAGGCGTTTCGTAGGTGGAGCTGTGGTAAACATTAAACCCCATTGAACGCCTTAGAGAATTTCAGGGTAATGTTTATCTGCCAGTTTCAAATTATAGAATAAGTAATTTTAAATTGTTACTGGCTAGATATAATTATTTAAACAAGTATTATAATAGTCCAAATCATAATTCTACAAAATTTCCACAGCTATTCACAATTTATTAAACTATTTACATGCATTATGTGAAATTGTTATTAGCATATATAAATTAATTTTCTACGAAAATGTATCACATTAACTTTGGTTAGCCACGCGGTAAAACTGTCAATTCCTGTGTATAAAGGGGGAGAACTGCAAAAAGCCTTTCCAACTTGACGGATGTGAAGTTATCCACATCCACAAATGTACACTGAGAAAAATATAACTCTATCGTAATAGTCATATAACTTGGTTCAAATTACCTGTAAAGCCTTTTCATTTGTAGATTTCAATTGGGGAGGTTTCAATACACAGCAACCATACCCGCAATTAACTTTTGCTTTGTCTCAGGGGGTGCAATTGGGGGTGAAATTTAAAAAAAAATCATAGAAGCCACAAATGGCTTTGTACACCTTTCTGCTTGGGATATGTTATGTAGTTTACTCTTTTCTTCATCCCTGATACCATGCTGGAGTTTGTCGAGCCGTCTGAGGGGGTGCAATAAGGGGTGAAATAAAAAAAATCATAGAAGCCACAAATGGCTTTGTACACCTTTCTGCAAGCGATATGTTATGTAGTTTGCTCTTTTCTTCATCCCAGATACCATACTGGAGTTTGTCGAGTCGTCTGAGGGAGTGCAATTGGAAATGAAATTTAAAAAAAAATCATAGACGTCACAAATGGATTTGTACACCTTTTTACTTGAGATATGTTATGAAGATAGCTATTTTCTTTATGCCTGATACCATGCTGGAGTATCGAGCTGTCTGAGGGGGTGCAATTGGGGGTGAAATTAAACAAAAAATCATAGAAGCCACAACTGGCTTCATAACATATCTCAAGTAAAAAGGTGTACAAAGCCATTTGTGGCTTCTGTGATTTTTTGTTTAATTTCATCCCCAATTGCACCCCCTCAGACGGCTCGACAAACTCCAGCATGCTATCAGGGATGAAGAAAAGAGCAAACTACATAACATATCCCAAGCAGAAAGGTGTACAAAGCCATTTGTGGCTTCTATGATTTTTTGTTAATTTGACCTCCAATTGCACCCCCTCAGACGGCTCGACAAACTCCAGCAGGGTATTAGGCATAAAGAAAATAGCTATCTTCATAACATATCTCAAGTAAAAAGGTGTACAAAGCCATTTGTGGCTTCTGTGATTTTTTTTAAATTTCATCCCCAATTGCACTCCCTCAGACGACTCGACAAACTCCAGCATGGTATCTTAGATGAAGAAAAGAGCAAACTACATAACATATCGCATGCAGAAAGGTGTACAAAGCCATTTGTGGCTTCTATGATTTTTTTTATTTCACCCCCAATTGCACCCCTTAGAGAGCTCGACAAACTCCAGCATGCTATCAGGGATGAAGAAAAGAGTAAACTACATAACATATCCCAAGCAGAAAGGTGTACAAAGCTATTTGTGGTTTCTGTGATTTTTTGTTTAATTTCACCCCCAATTGCACCCCCTCAGACGGCTCGACAAACTCCAGCATGGTATTAGGCATACAGAAAATAGCTATCTTCATAACATATCTCAAGTAAAAAGATGTACAAAGCCATTTGTGGCTTCAGTGATTTTTTTTTAAATTCATCCCCAATTGCACCCCCTCAGACGGCTCGACAAACTCCAGCATGCTATCAGGGATGAAGAAAAGAGTAAACTACATAACATATCCCAAGCAGAAAGGTGTACAAAGCCAGTTGTGGCTTCTATGATTTTTTGTTTAATTTCACCCCCAATTGCACCCCCTCAGACGGCTCGACAAACTCCAGCATGGTATCAGGCATAAAGAAAATAGCTATCTTCATAACATATCTCAAGTAAAAAAGTGTACAAAGCCATTTGTGGCTTCTGTGATTTTTTTTTTAATTTCATCCCCAATTGCACCCCCTCAGACGGCTCGACAAACTCCAGCATGCTATCAGGGATAAAGAAAAGGGCAAACTACATAACATATCCCAAGCAGAAATGTGTACAAAGCCATTTGTGGCTTCTATGATTTTTTGTTTAATTTCACCCCCAATTGCACCCCCTCAGACGGCTCGACAAACTCCAGCATGGTATCAGACATAAATAAAATAGCTATCTTCATAACATATCTCAAGTAAAAAGGTGTACAAAGCCATTTGTGGCTTCTGTGATTTTTTGTTTAATTTCATCCCCAATTGCGCCCCCTCAGACGGCTCGACAAACTCCAGCATGCTATCATGGATGAAAAAAAGAGAAAATTACATAACATATCCCAAGCAGAAAGGTGTACAAAGCTATTTGTGGCTTTTATGTTTTTTTTTTAATTTCATCCCCATTGCACCCCCTGAGACAAAGCAAAAGTTAATTGCGGGTATGGTTGCTGTGTATTGAAACCTCCCCAATTGAAATCTACAAATGAAAAGCCTCTACAGGTAATTTGAACCAAGTTATATGACTATTACGATAGAGTTATATTTTTCTCAGTGTACATTTGTGGATGTGGATAACTTCACACCCGTTCCAACTTGTCCATCAACAACATCGAGAATTTTGCCAACATGTTTGTCATTATTCTTCAGACTAGTACACCTATTGTTGGTTTACAAAACAAGTAATCAAATTATAACCTTACCTATACCCATGCCGAAAGCAATGGTAGCAATTATAACCTGATAATGGTTTTTCATCCAACGGTCATGTACTGTTTTTCTATCTGCCCTTTCCATTTGAGCATGATAAAATTTTACTTTCAAACCATATTGCCTTAGATCAGTACATATTTCTTCAGTTTCTTTAATTGTTGATGTGTAAATTATACCAGATTTGTTCTTATATTTTGTTGATAACCATTTTGATAAAAGTTTTAGGCATTCACTTTTCTCACTAGGTTTACTTACCACCTAAAATAAAACAGATATTTATTAAGCATTTTTATTTTATCATGTTTTTGTCTAACTTAAATTTAACTATTTACATCAATAATAAATTCAAACACAATATTATTTGTGGCATAGATTTACCTTATAATAAAGGTTTGGTCTATTAAATGGAGCAGTGATTATCACTGCATCTTCTAGGCTTAACATTTTTTGAATATCAACCAGTATATTCATTGTAGCTGTAGCTGTTAACCCAATAATAGGAACACCAACAAACATTGTCTTAAATAAACCTAAGTGATTGTAATCTGGCCGAAAATCATGTCCCCATGTAGAACAACAATGAACCTCATCTAAAATAAAACTTATAACATTGTTTAACATTAGATATTTCTAAATACTCTAACATGGCTACACAGGAAAAGTTAGAAAGAATTTGCTAAGTACAACTTAATAAAATAAGTGTCTTCTAAACACTAAATATTTATTTAAACATAACTTACCAATAACAATTCTGGCTAAAAGATTCTTATCAAAACACTTTTGTAAATAAGACATGAACTGTTTACTCTTAGCTACCCATTCTGGTGTCACATATAATAACTTCATTTCAGATCCAGGATTTGTCATTTCATTATGAACATATTTTCTTTCATCTTTAGAGGTATTTGAATTTATAGAAGCTGCACCAATTCCAATTTCTTTCAGAGCTCTCAATTGGTCATCGATAAGAGAAATTAATGGTGACACAACCAGTGTTAGGCCTTTGCTAATATATGCTGTTAACTGGTAAACTAAACTTTTTCCACCTCCCGTGGGCATAAGTAATAAGACATCTTTGTTTGCAAGAGTGCTGTTAACGGCAGCAAGCTGTTTTTGACGGAAATTATCAAATTTAAATTTTTCTTTTAACACTTTGAATATTTCATCAGACCAATCGAATTTTTTATTTACCCATTCTGGCTCGTTTTTACTAGACCTTATTTTTGCTAATTTGTAGTTATTCTGAAGATCCTCTTTTTCAGTTTCTAGAATTTTTAGTTTGCTGATGATTTGTGCTTTTTTACGCTGCAATTCTTGTATATTTTGTTCTATTCTATTCAATTTGAGTATATAATCTGAAAATCATAAAACAGTAACGTTTACATCCAACAAAACAAAACAATCCTAATATTAATAACTCACCATCTTCGTCCATCTTGCCGGCATTGGTATCGTTGTGATGTGTTTAATATCAAAATTAATTTTTTAATTTACAAATTACCACATGTAGACTTATTGAATGTTTTTTATGAGAAAAATCCATATTAAATCCATTTTTTTGAATAGAGAAATATGATTTTCTAAAATCTAAACGGTTAATCTCTTCTTCTTGTAAGTTTTAAAAATTTTATTTTGGCCTTTAATTATTTGTGATATTTCGAATAAGCAGTTACTATATAAGTAAAAGGTCAATAAACACAGAAGAAATTAGGCCTTTTACTCTTAAGTCGTTTAATTACTATCATTAACAATCCAAGTAACGGGCCAAAATAAAACAGAAGACTAGCGGCCTTATACTATTACGTTATTTAGTAAAAGCCAGTAAACTTGATAAGTAAATGGACATTAAAGATGCAGAAGAATTGGTAGCCTTTTACTTATAATATATTTAGGAACAGACGTTAACTATTTAAGCTATTGGAAAGTTGAAAACAATAATTATAACGGCAGATAAAAAGTTAAAATTATTAATTAATTTGGGAAATGGGCATTGTTCTGGATATTTATATTATACTTACTGCTAGGTCACAAAATCAATCGGAAATAAATTTTTTGAGGCAAAAAAAATTAAATGTTTAATATAAACTGCATTTATATGAACACAAATATTGTTAGATACAATGTTATTTAAGCGTATCTGGATTACTAACTTTTCCTGCGAAAATAATTGTCTTGGTTGGTTTATTTACAATGAAATACAAGAAAGGTTTGTTGGCTTTGAATTTCGCTGGGAATGCTTTGTTTTCAAAAGCAGCACCTAAAATAAACAAGGAAATCATTAATTGTAATGTAATTAATTAGACATATTAAGGTTTATAATTATTATGTTAAGGTTTTATAGTTATACGGGCATATATTGGACATTTTTTCCTTAAATAAGAAGACGGGAAATGGCATACACATTATAAAAACGAGGCGAGAAGTGGAATGAATACGCGCCAGTAAAATTTGATTACTTAAATTTTATTAATAATTCGGTTTAACGCTATTGGCTTACAAAAGCGATCATCAAAGCCATGGAGTACCACCACAGGAAATATTTGATAAAATAAAAACATTTGGAAGTTACAATTATTAAAAATACCAATAATACCAATTTCACTATATAAGGACCGATTCCACCATTGTGTTAAACGAAGTTTAAAATGACATTTTTACATTAACAATGTCATTTTAATCTTCGTTTAACACAACGGTGGAATCGGTCCTAAGTAAATTGTTTGGTTTAACTAGCGTTAGTTAACCAAAACCAGCATTTTTAGGCACGTATTTTTATAATTGTAACTTCCAAATGTTTTTATTTGAGCTAAGATTTCCTGTGGTGGTATATACAGTATATGTTAAGTTTCCTGCAAATGGATAATATTGATTAGACAGAAGTAAAGTGCGCGCCAGATCACTAGTGGTAGATGTGTATTCATCTGTCCAATCACACGGAGTGCAGTCAGCCGATTCACGAGATCTTATATCTTTTTATATCTCTTACGTGCGTTTCATCTTTATTTTTCAAAGGTTCCATGGGTCAACTTATTGTAGAGATGATGGCGATGTACGCCGAAAACACTCAGCCAAATTTTTAATAAAATTTCAATTTTTACACACTGACATTCATTCTCTCACCTAGTTTTTTTCTTGCCGGATATACTTTCTATCCCATATTAAATGTTTTAAAAAGTCAGAAAAACAATTAATGTGTTGTTACATATATAATCCATATCATTGCCAATTATATAAAATAATCTGAAGAAAAATGATTTACTAACCGGCAGCTGCTGAAGCGGTTGTTCCCTGTTCGTCGACATCGATCTCCGCTTTTTGAATCAATCTTGATAAATATAAATACTGGTCAAACATGTCCAACAAATTTGCTTTTTGGGAATCAAATGCATCTTTTATTCCAATCTAAAAACAATAATAAAATTACAATTTGACCAAGCAATTTTTATTATAAATCGTAAGTCAAGTTCTTATTTCAATGTTGAAATTTAGCTAAACATAATATAACCCTAGGGATAATAATATCAAAGATACGTAAATAACATAGTGGCATATTACAACTTACAACCATATCATTACTTAACACTCACTTTACTCAAAACAACATTGAGATTAAAATCCGAAGTTATCTTGAATTTTGGTAAATATACGTTAATACTTTCATCCATAAACCGCTTGTCTGCATCGTCTAAGGTACGCAAAATCGTCGAAAATGTCATTTTCGACATCTTATTCAATACTCCAGATATGCTTTCCCCTTTGAATGGAAGTACAACAACCATAGATATCTGGCCATCCTACAAAAAGAAAATGTCTAAACAGGGTTACATAAAAATATTTGAATCGCCAGAATCTGACAATATTAAAGAGAGAACAAAATGCATAAAGACAAACAGACAATGAACTCTATCTTACCCTGCCATATGGAAGCTCTATAGCGTGAGCGTTTAACTCTTCTAATCTTGAATAAGGCAACACGCTTGTGAGATACATCATTTCAACTTCCCCAATTTTGTTATTTTTTTCATCGTAAAATGATTCCCGGTGCGTTGCGGTCTTATTGAATGGTAATCGCCAGAGTCCTTTAAAATACATTAAACTTGCCATGAATACTTGAGCGTCCGATACATCACCTAAAAATTAAAAAGAATTTCAATGTCAATCAATTAATAGAGGTAACATTAGTCTTTCATAATCCAACCTTACAAATATTTTGTGTTCCTTTTTCAAGGTTTTCTAAACATTCATCACTTAATGAGACCAAATTAATGACAGTATGTCTAAACAAATTCAAGTCTCCTCTGATATATCTCAAGAAAGCCATTTAGGATCTTCGATATTTAATATTATATTTATCAATGATATAGCCAAAGTATTTGTCAATTGTACATTTTATAACTTACAAACGACCTTAGACTCTACTCCGCTGCACCCAAGTACTTAGATTAGATTCGAAAGGATTATTTGTCCTTGTCCATCGCGACCTCTTCATATCTATTGTGGGACACCGTTATTATTTAGAGTATCTCATCTAGCTTGGTATTTTTATTAGACTTATTAGCTTTGACAGTGACTCCGGCATGTAGTTACATGCGTATGGCTTTTTTTTTCACCTAGTGTTAGAAACATCAATCTAGCCAGGTCTTTACGCTGGCACAGGAAGTGGATTGATGTTTCCTCTGCTTCTTCACAGAACCAACACGATGTTGCTTCTTCTGCTGGATTGATGTCACTCATGTTCCTTCTTATTCCTTCTTAGGCGACATCGACAGTGTCCAGTAAGAAGATCTAATGTTATCCTAACGATTTGTAGTTTTTGATCCAGTAGGTCTTTCGTAAGCTTGGTCGATGGTTCCTTAATGAACTCTTTGACCTGTCTCAATCGTGGATAGTTGTTCCACCATTACGGTCTCTTTTTGCATCCATTTTTTGACGGATGCCTTGTAGCAACTCCACAGAAGGGTTCGGGACCTGCCATGGCCTTATCTGAGCCTTCTCGGGCTAGTTCGCCGGCCTAATATCCTTCGTGACCTGGTACCTAGATCAGTCACCACGTTGTTTTAACTATTTAGCTATGTCATGTCTTCTAGACAGTCTTCCACTAGTCGTGATTAGATTTCTTATGAGAGAATTGCCTTTAGAGCTGCATGGCTAAAGACGACAGGCAACTCAAATTTTAAATGTGAGCCATTTTGACATAAACAATCTGGATAATATATTAATTAATGTATTTATTAAAAACAACAACCCTAGCCGTGCTTAACAGCAACATCGGAACGAGAAGACCGCTCAATAAAATTTTGGGCTACCAGAGAAAGTAGAATTACTGCTAGAACGCTACAAAATCAGCTAATGACAGTTACAGGAACAAGAGTAAGTACTCAAACTATAAGTAATAAACTTAATGGGTCCCCCACAAAAGTTTGGGCGCCCCAAAAAAGCTGTGCCACCTCCGCTCTTTGGCCCACGCTACGCCACTGATTAAGCAAGGTAATGTCTAGTGAAGAATCACGTTGATGGAACTCACAGGTGAACGTTATTTGAACAATGCTATGGAAGAAATTGTTCGTTTTGGATATAATTCTTTTAAATGGACACACTGAGCTTGTGGAGTAGTTATCGTGTTCATTTTGGTTATGGAAATTTTTTCTCCGAAGCATGAGATATATAGCGGAAAAAAATTAATTCTTATTGGTCACCTGGTTCATTTTTGCAATTACATTTTCTCATTTAAAGTATAAAAAGCAAATTTAAAAAAACTAGTACATTTCAAATATTAGTTTACAAGTTGTTTTAGGAGATGGTCAAACGTCGAAATATAATTTTAAACTTTTTTGGATCTTAATTGTGCCTTCTCTTGTCGATTGACCTCCAAATCGATATTCGATATTGAAATTGCATTTTTCGAAAATGCACACCGTTTGAGGTAACATTTATAATTATTTTAGGGGGTAATCCGTCGAAACCTAATTCTAAACCATTTCGCATCTTTATTTTGCCCTTTATGTCCATTGACCATTTTTTTCAACAAAAATTAGATTGGGAAAATTGCTTCTTCGAATTTTGACCCTCTCTGTTGACTCTTAAATTAATTTAGGGAGGGGTTAAACGTCGATACATAATTTTAAACGTCTTTGGATCTTAACTGCGCCTTTCTAGCGATTGATCATTTTTTCAAAGTTGAAATTGGTCCCAGAACTGTTTTTCTATAATTAAAACCTGAGGGGTGGTTAAAAAGTCTAATGAGTGGTCAAACATGGTCAATCCTATGGTGCATGGAGTTTTGAAAAATATAAACTTCGGACGACCACCGGGTACTCAGCCTTTAATTTTTTAAATATTTATGTTTCTGAGGGTTGTCAAAAAAAATTACTGGGTAATCAAACATGGTGAATAGGTGGTAAAACGCATCCGGCTTTTAAAACTAAAAATTTCAGAATTTTGGGGAGCCAGATTCACACAACCGTAAGGCATTGAGAACTTTTGAGTGCGTCATGAACGTATCAATCAACTCGAAATAGTTATTTTGAAAAAGTATTTAGAAACAGGCGCTACTAACCTAAAGTAGAATTTTGATTACAAATTTATAATCCTAGAAAAAAGACAACAGCGGTTATAACAGATTATTCTGTTGCACTTTTAGATATCGATCAAATCGTTTATTCTAATCTCAAATTTTTAGAAACGAATCTACGTCAAATAACACCCACGCTTTTTAGGCTTTGCATTGATGGGTTGATAAACGGAGATGACAAGATTGATTTGTGGTAAAACGTGAGAGATAGAAATAATAATATATTTGTGTGTAGGTAAGTAACGAGATAATACAATGGAACCTTGACTCCTGACCTTCAGACAGCTTATAAAAACATTTAATAGAAATGATTTCAAAGATCAGTTCAAA